GAAGTAGTCAGTTATTTTCAGAAAACTGTTTCTTTGTTTAGCTGTGTCGCTTCAACATAGAATTCATTCAGACATAAAAAGGCTCCAAAACTCAAATTATGAACCAGTGTTGTTACGACACATGACGGGCAGCTTAACAATAATCGGATACTAACTGGGATCTTTCAGGAGCCTGTCATTATTCTTTTGTCCTGTACTTATCTACTTTCAAACCTGGCAGAATCTCCACCTTAATGTGGTGAAATGGTTTGAGCACCCCCTGTGATCTTGAGGGCTATGTTTTAAGGGGTGTTGGCCCCTGGCAGGGTGTCTCATGGTAAACTAGCCTCAGGAGGGAGATCAGACTAGGAGCGGCTCAAGGCTTTGTTGATAAAAGATCACATTTAACAAGCAACATCATCCATARGAAATAAACTGGGGCATCCTTCTCAAGCCAGGCCTGGGAGGGAGCTCACTGGTGAGTCTAGAGCTGGTGCCTCTTTGTCCTGAAAAATCCAGCTGAGGTGGTCCGGGCATCCAATTAGGATGCCTCCTGTGTGCCATCCTCTGGGGGTGTWTTAGACACATCTTACTGGGAAAAGACAAAAGAGCAAACCCAGAACTCATTGGAGGAATTTCTTTACCCTCTCGGGTCTGGGAAAACTTTTGTGAACTGGAGAGTGGAGCTGGGGTTTCCATCCTGAGCCTGTTGCCTCTGTAACCTGACCTGGATGGATGTATGAATGGATGGACGGATGCATGGATGGATGGATGGATGGATGGATGTATGAATGGATGGATGGATGGATGCACGGATGGATGGATGTATGAATGGATGGTTGGATGGATGGATGGATGGATGCACGGATGGATGGATGGATGCATGGATGGATGTATGCATGGATGAATGGATGGATGGATGGATGGATGGATGGATGGATGGATGGATTGATGCATGGATGGATGGATGGATGGATGGATGGATAGATGCATGGATGGAGGGAAGGAGGGATGATGGATGGATGGATGGATGAGTTGATGCATGGATGGAAGGAAGGAGGGATGGATGGATATATGGATGGATGGATGCGTGGATGGATGGATAGATATATTTATGTATGGAAAGATGGATGAATGCATGGATGGATGGATGGATGGCCCACTTTCCTTTTATTTTAAGCAGACACGTGACAGTATGGGGTCATGGTCAAAAACAAAAACTAGGTAAAAAATGAAACAAAAAGTAGCCAAAGTCTAAAGAAAAGCTTTGAGACCTTCAGAGCACCTGAGGAACTATTGATCAAGATGACTTTGACTAAGTGGAATCAAAGTATAATAACATAAAGGGTGAACTAATATGTCCAGTACCTCAGCCAGGAGCAGCCCCTGTGGCTCCAGATCCAGCTGGACTTGGTGTCTTTGGTTGTCCAGGAACTCCTCCAGCTTCAGGTACTTGAGGGCGCACARGGAGCGATAATCTCTCCAGTACACCGCTATCTCCATCTCCCGGGACTAAAGCCAACACACGGCAGGAATATCACTTAAAGATTTATGAACTCACTTTAATGAAGTTTAAACCTGCATGTAACCAGCTCTGTGTGGAACACCTGCAAATACATTTCAGCTAAACATCTTATTATATTTAGTTATTTATAGGGACTCAGATGCAGAAATGTAAACTTGTGAGGATTTTAGTTTCTCAGAGCAGCACACGGAAGGCTCTTTCAGAAGACAGTAGCAGTAAATGGGCAAACAGCCCACTCTGGTGACGCAGACATGTTTTCTTACCACGCTCACATGAGCTTTCAGAGAATGTGAATCATCTGCATGTGTACAGAGCGGAGCTCACGGGACTTGTAAAAAAAAAAAATACACCAAAAGTTGAAATCTGGTGTTTTGATTTAAAGGGATCCCCGATTAGTTGTAAT